TAATGAACTAAATATATATTTACTTTTAATACTTTTCTTCTTGTTCACTACTTTTGATGTCTTGGGAGAGCCCTTTCTTTGATTAGTTTTTTTATGTTCATTACTGGACTCTGCATTTTGTTCACAATCTATGAGAAAACAACTATCATGAAAAACAAGCAGGTGCATAACCAAGTATTTTGAGCATAATTTATAGAAAGGAAGAAAAATTACCTTTAGACATAGACTGCTCCAGCTGGTCAATTTTCAGTTTCAGTTGATCAATAAGCTTAACTGCGGCACTGAGGTCTCTTCGTAGGTCCTTCACTTCTCTCTTCTTTTTCCCTACACTCTCCTGCAATGATCTAATCTTTTCCATTAATTTAACAGTATCGTCCTCACTTCCAGAATCAGAATCATGAAACAAGGAAATGTCAGAGTCACTCCCACTTCCCATACGGAGTGTATCCTCAAATTCATCATGACTATCTCCTTTAAAAAGATTCTGAATGTGAGATTTAGTCTGCAAAAGAAACAGCAATTACATAGGCGTAGAAAACAAGAAAGATGATTTCAGAGCAAATTAATTTACCTGTTTGCTTGCACTTGAAATGTTAAAAGATGTCACTTTGAACTTATCTTTTTTTATTTTTTTGGAAGGAGTGGTCAAAACGGGTGATTCATTTTTCCTCTTCAATTCCGAAAGTACAAGCTGAAAAGGGAAAGTGGTAATTAGTGGGGGTGATAGGTAACTATTGGGTCAGACAGTGAACCCTCACATCCACTTCACGCTTCCTTCGTGCAAGGGGAAGGCAGTAAGAATGTGCAGAGAGCTTATTGTGTCCAACCAATGAGCATAGAACTTTGTGTTGAAAAAAACTGGATAAAAGCAAATAAGAAGGCAGAAATGTTCATAAGAAAAATAACTCACACTCTTATGACCAGAAGATAAGGGAGATTTGAATGAATCTTCTTTAAGAGGAGTTACCTGAAAACCAGCTTTCATGACTGGTGATAAAGGCTTCTCACTACTATTTTTAGCTTCCACCTAAAAAGAAAATGTAGGAAGAAAATTTTTAAAAGGATTTTAAGTTAGTTTTGTAAACATTGAATAAAGTAAGAAAAGCTGGTGTACATGATTTTTGATAAAAGTTGCAATTCAATTAACTTGGAAAATCAGGATTACTACATACCATGGGCATGGATTTGGAAGGTGTGCTGTGGCTCGGCATTCCCTCTGAATTAAAACCTGACAAAACCTTTGACAAAGGTAAACAAAAGAAAAAGTATGATGTAAGTAATTCATCACATTTTTATATTATCAAATCTTAAAACCAGTTACAGAAACTTTTCAATACCTTAGAAGCCTTTACAGAATCATCTGTTTCAATCTGTCCAGAGCAGGAAAAAGGGTTTGTTGCATCATGATTTCCTAATTTCTGAAATGAACAAATGGATATAGATTAAAATAATCTGGCAAATAAAGATTAATTAAAATGTGTCCTTACCCCAGATTTGCCTTCCTCTGCTTTTTCATAAATATCGTTTCCATCAAAGTCACCTTCCTGATTCCCATCCTGGTCCTTCTCCTTCTTACTCCTTTTACTTGGATTATCAGCGCCATTCTTCTCTTGAGAGTTACTTTTCTTAACTATCTCCTAAGAAAACAAATTTTAGAATGCACGCATTAAAACCCTTTTTACTGAATGTAAATGCAAAAGTTTAATGATTATAGTGGTACTATACCATAGGCTTGATTTTTGAGCTCATGCCGTTTTTCGACAATTCGCAATCTGTACCAGAACTATCCACATTCTAAATGACAGACACACACATGAAAAAGAAAATATGATTAAATGGACACTACTCAAACATTTCATACAAAATATACATATCTTGAACACAGGTAAGGGAACATTTACCACACCTGAAATAGAGGGTTGGTCTTGAGAGAATCATCTATTACAGCTTTAAGCCGTTTTAAAGAAATAGGGTCCTTGGCAATAAGATTTGTTTTTTTCTAAAATAAACAAAGATTTAGATTACAATAATAAAGAGACTTTAGATTAACAATATCTATACTGTGACCTTACCTTTGACTTTCCCTTGTCTTTCAGCTCATCAGAATCACTAATATCACTTTCATTAATGTCAATCTCGTCATGCTTCTTGGAAACGCTTTCATCTCCCAAATTTTCTGTATGATCCTTCTCTGCATTCCTTTTTGTGGCACTATGCTTTTCACCATTACCCTTCTCTTTCGTGACTTCTAATTTACTGTGCCTATGTTTCGATCTCTGTTTGAGCATAGAATCGCTGTTCTCACTTCGTGAACCTTGCTTCTGAAACAAATTAAAAATAGTTATCAATAAATTGCAGAGTCGAGTAGGCAAAATGAATATGTGGCACAGAACCCACCCGTCGAGAACTCTGCTTTTCCACATTTTGCGTTGGCAATGGAGTTGACTTGGCTTCAATACTAATAAGTGAGCACTGCGGAAGCTTAATTCGAAGCTCCTTTGCTTTCTTTTCAGCTGTTACGACAGATGCTATAATCAAAGGAGAAAAGAAACACAAATTGTAATCAAAAATCAATCAACACATTTACTAAGCAAAGGGACTTGAGTTTGCCATTGTCTGTTGTTACTAAGACAATGTTAAAATGACTCAAATTACTTTGATGATGTTCCAAAATTGAAAATTATGACTGGAAACACCCTTTTAAAGTTTTTAAATAGCTATTGTCAACTGAAATAGTGAATCCATCGAAAACTCGGGTGGGTAGAGGTAAGCTGCGGATGCCTGGACCAATTTGACGCACCAAATGGCTCCAACTTGCCAGGTATTAACTAACAGGTTAGAATCTACATAAAACTTCAACTTACGGGCAATTGCAAAGATTTGTGCGTCGTAGAATCCATCATCTTGTAGGCTGCCCTCTGTTAGAGACTGTTGCCATTTCACCTGAACATCGTCCCCGATGATGAAATCTTTACAACTCTTCGGATCAAATGGACTTTTGTCCACATTCCGAACAATTGATAAATGCGCAATTTTTGCAACCTTGGTGTCCTTAAACCGCACGACTGCATATCCTTCTTTCATTTTCGAAGCTTCCAACCACTTCAGTCCCTAATACTTTCACTCATTCCACGAGGCCACGCTCAGTCCAGGACACTTCGCTCGCGGTTGGCCGTTACAGTGTTGGAGCTTGGATGGTTTGAATTAGGTTGCGCGAGTGGCCGCTAGGAGCGCCACTAGCGATGGATCGTGGGACTAGAGTCCGTTTGCCCGCAACTGTTCTTTCTGCTCGTCACATCTAGATTGTTTTATTTTGAATAGTGTAAGGTTGTATGAACACTCTTAAATGTAAAATTTTAAAAAATGATATCACGTTATATGTTTGGCAGTGTTACATCAATCTATTAATTTTGCAGCACTTCTAACAAGGTTCAGGTTGCGCGTAACACACCATATTCTCAGACCAGACTGGACGACCGGATCAGGGACCAAGTTACATTTTAAGGATTTTAAGCCTATTAGATGAAGTTCATTGAAATTTTATTATTGTGATGTTGCCATCTTATTTATCAAACGAATTACCCCCCTTGTCAAGTTATGGTCTCTGATTTTCAGTGACAAACATTAATACTCAGTAAGTGTGTTTGTTTCATTGCCCATTCATCAAAAGTTTGGTTAGAGTGCAGGGTCTTTGCATCTAAACATTCATTTTATTTCAGTGAAAATTACGTACTTTTAACGGACGATGGTTCAATACGAACGGAAAAATTTCCACAAAAAACGCTATTACAACAAGGACGAAGAAATTACTGATGTCCCTCGACAAACCATTTGGAATCAGAAAAAGAAACATTGTGTGGGGATTGAAAATGATATCATTCAAACGTAAGTTTACGTGCACAGTTGTGTTGACAAATGTACATAGTTTTCCCTGAAACCTTTTCATTTTGCCTTAGGGACAATTCGCAGTTTGTGGTTTTGGAGCGTGATGTGTCAACATCAAGACAAGGCGGCTCGGTTAATGAGACAGTAAGAACTTTGCAAATTTTCTCTTATGTATTCTTTTCTCCTGGAGTTCTATTATTGCTGAAGAATTTGATATCAAATTTTAAAACAATTAAATAGGTTTTGCACATTGAATTATCTTACAGGTTAGTGACGAACGAGCAGCATATGTCAGTATTGGAAATGGAATTGGGCCTTCTTCGGAAAATACCACTGAAAATACGGGCCGACAAGCAATCTTTCCTCATCAAGAAAGAGATTTTGAATTCCAATCAGAGGTAAAAACATTTTATTTGTTTACCTTTTTGAATGTTAATGTGTATTTTTAAAATGTATATATTTGACTTCTTATAGTTTCCAGCATTCAAATACTTTGTAACCTCAATTTTATAAACGTTTGTTTTTATTTTTAGGGTTCCTCAAATAATGGAGATGAAGAAAGTAGCAGTGACGCAGAAGACAGAGAATCCAATACCAATAGTTCTCACCTCCAGGATGATCAATCAGAATTTTCGGTATGAAACCTGTTCTGTAGCAACTTCACTGTTGATATGTATCAATTAAACAAGTGCTATGA